AGGATTCAGGTTAGACCCTTGAATAGTTAATTCTTAGGGAAACAGGGACAAGGAGAAACACAAGCACAGGGAACCAGGTGTCAGGCACCACTGTAGATGCTAGTTTTGAAGGAGATTTCAGGAATGAGAGTGGGTTTGCATATGTTATTTTATTTATTCCTCTCAACCACAATATGGGGTTATTTCAGAGGACGATGCTGATCCTCAGAAAGATGAAGTAACTTGCCCAGGTCGGCGGTGGATCTAGGATTAGAAAGTAGCTATGTCTAACTCCAAAGCCCATGCCAATTCACTATCACTGAGAGAAGCCTGAACACAGTATGTTTAGGGAACAGGAAGGGGCAGGGACGGCTATGGCAGAAGACAGGGTTAAGACACAGGGCAGTTAGGTAAGCTTGCTAAAGTGGGAGCATGTGTTGTACAGCCAGGAAAACTAGACAGAGACATTTGAACTTGGTCTTATGGTTACAGAAGAGCTTTTGAAGGGTTTGAGTAATGGAGTAACCAAAGTGACACCTTTGGGCAACGACCAAAGGGGATGGTGGTGAAAATGGGAGTTCTGGGTTCCTAAGCTAAAGAGCTGCCACTAACAACAGTAAAGGGGGCCACACGATATAGTGAAGTGAGAAGTGGACTAAGAATCAGAAGCTTGGGTCTAAATGCAAAAAGTTACATGATAAAGACGTGGCTACATAAGACAAGTGACGTTCTCTCTCTGGACTTCAGTTTCTCTTCATCCATAAATCAGATGAAGTGAAAATTAATCTCTAAATGACCTCTAAACCTTTGCTACTCAAAGTGTGGGCCACCAACCAGCAGCAAGGCATCATCCAAAAGCTTAAGAGAAATGCAGAATCTCAAGCCCAACCAGAAGAATCAGATCTGTATTTAAACAAGATCCTCAGGTGATCTGTAAGCGCAGTAAAGTTTGAGACTTCTCTAAAGTGTTCAGACTCACCTCAACTCTGTCACTTCACAGGAAAAAAAAACACACAAAAAACGTTTCCCTTTTCACTTCATCTGTTCCCTTTTCCTACCTAACCTCCCCTCAGATTTGCCCACATCCAGGTCAAGGGCTTAGGAACACCAATGGGACAGCGCTGCCTCCTTGTGGCCATGATCAGTAAATGCACTTAATCTTACCACTCGCACCAGTGGAGGGAGAGGGTTGGCAGAGGGCGTGAAGTCCAAGTCAGATTAGATAAGAGAATCACAACCCCTCACAATGGCCAGAAGTAACTGTCACACAGAGCTCGGCCTGCATCATACTGTCACATTTTAAAGGGCAGTTTTTATAATACCTATTTAAATGTGGTCTTAGTGGGAAACCTGGGCTCCAAGCCAAGCTCTGCCCTTGCAACCTTAAAAGAAAACTCACTCTGACAGTTATTTTCAGACATTCAGCCCCTGCCTGAACTCTGCCAGTAAACTTGCAGTTTTCCAAGGAAACTTATTTTACTGTGTCAGTTCTTTCACCTCCTGAGCCACAATGTGTCTGAGGCATACTCACCAACCCTAGTCCTCCTCTCTGTAGGCACTGAAATAAGTTTACTAACTTTTCACACAAAAACCTTCAACCATTTGTGAACAACCACCGTGCGCCACTGTCATCTTCCCTCAGCCATTTCCCAAATGACATATTCTGAAGTCCCTGCAAGTGAAGAATGTCAACCTCTGCGGAAACTCCAAATTCTAGGAGTGTTCTAACCAGAGCAGCAGAGCCACAGGACCACCCACCTCCCCATTCTGGGCCCTACACCTATACCCAGAAAGACAAACACCACCTCAGCTGATGTGAAGATACTGCTTTTCCTACTTGTGCTGCTGCTCAGGCATCCCACACCTGCGTAGATGTATACTTTTCATTCAGTTTTATTTTTTAAGAAATATTTATTACAGCTTGCTATGTCCTATGCACTAGAGAGGAAAGATGAATCAGACCTGGTCATGCCCTCACCAAGCACTAGGTTATGGGGGGAACCCAGCTCAAAGCTAGACATTACAGTTCAGTGAGAAACACCTTGATGAAGGTGAACACAGACTTTTTTGGCCCATCTCCTCAACCCCATGAAAATCTTCCACTCTTAGTTTTCTGGACTCAGTTTTTCTCATTTCAAGCTCAAAGTGAAATAAAAAAGGCAAATGTCCAGATGGTCCTTTTTGCAGTCCCGGTTGGATTGGATATTTCCTTCTGGCTAACCCAAGGTGCTGGAGGCTCCCACTTCATTCTGAATGTCCTCTCTCTCCAATTAGTGCTCACCACACGTGCACATGCAGCAGCCAGGCAGCTGCACACTAAAAAACGTTCTAGCAAGTCAGGAAACTTGAGTTTTAGTCCTGTGGCTTTGAGGCTGACTGTGTGATGTTGAGCAAATCATATAACTTCCCTCAGCTTTAATTTCCACTCCTCTAAAATGGAGCAGTTGGATTAGATCTCCATGGGTCTATGGGTACAGTGAGAGCTCCTCAGACAGAGCATCACCCCTTACTCGTCTCGGGAGCCACCACCTGGCAAATACCAGGCACACATTAGGTGCTCAAATGTTCACTGAAATCGTGTATGAATAAATGATGATTATTAGAGCAACATGAACTATGGAATCAATCGACAAATATTTCTTTTTTTTTTTTTAAGATTTTATTTATTTATTTATTTTCCCCCCAAAGCCCCAGTAGATAGTTGTATGTCATAGCTGCACATCTTTCTAGTTGCTGTATGTGGGACACGGCCTCAGCATGGCTGGAGAAGCGGTGCGTCGGTGTGCGCCCGGGATCCAAACCGGGCCACCAGCAGCAGAGCGCCCGCACTTAACCGCTAAGCCACGGGCCGGCCCTCGACAAATATTTCTGAACGTCTCCTAAGTACACTATAGAGTGCAGAAACCAAATAGGTGTGGCAAAATGGTATTTTCTCCCCACTTTCCGCTTACTTCCTTCCCAGAGTAGGGCCTTTGTAAGTCAGAGAGACTGTGCTGGCACAAATAATATTCTTGAGGTGGGCTCTAGTAGTTGCTGATATTTAAAAAAGGAAAGTTTGTTTGTCTTGGGGGTGTTTTATATCAATGCACCTGAGGGACCCAAGGCCCCTTCCATGGTACACAGGACCCAACACCCCACCCCAAGTCCATGGAGGGGAAAACCAGAGAGTTAACTGACAGGGTCCCAGGACCTGGGGAGATCAGAGGAGTAAACAGACTGGGGGACCTGGAGGAAGGTCTGAGGAGGAGCTCCCTTATCCTGAGCAGCTCGAAGGGGACTGATGGCACCTCAATGGGAAAAGTAAAGCACTCCCATCAGGTTCCATGTGTATATGTGATCATTCATAAGTAAAATCTTCTTTCTCATAAAGGAATGCACTTTCACATGCTTTCTAACACATCAGGCCTAGTTAAAGCGTTACAAAAATGTCATTTCATTCAACAAACATTTATAAAGTACTCTCAAAGTGTCAGGCCCTGTGTAAGTTCAGAAACACAAAAAGAACAAAAACCAGCCCCTGCCCTCAAAGATACCTCCCAATTAGCTCCATGCTCCTTCTCTGCACTGCCCTCCTCTCCGCCCTCCACCAACCCAAACCTACCCCACCCTCAAGCCCCAGCCCAAGGTCCACTAACCCGGACACTCAGCTACTCTGTGTCCACAGTGAACTCCTGCCACTTCTGAAATTTGGTTCCACTTATATCTCTAGATTTTATGAAGGGTATGTCATCTCCCTCATTACCTTTTGAGCCTCCTGGGGACAGAGACCATTGTTAGAATTTTCCAGAGAGAAGCCACATCAGGAGTTTGTATCAGACCAAGCTCAGACCAAACTCAAGTCTTCAACTCCAGGACAATCTGCACTGCTGAGCACAGTGCCTGGCTCCCTGCAGTGCTTTATAAACCTTGTGTAACAAAGTCTACAATCACCTCTCCAACGTGACAACAGGCAAGGATAATCTGAAACATTGAGAGGGTAAGAGGATCAAATAAAAATCAAAAAGGGTGTGACTCATGCCTTGCCTCTTCCCCTCTCTTAGGAGAAACAAAGTCACACCACCTGTTCTCACTCCTGCCTGCAGGCTGCTGGGGAGGACTTCCTTGTTAACCACCCTCTCAGGCCCCACAAATATTGCCCAGCACTCAAGCCCACCTCTCCTCTTCCTTTGGGCACGTTTCCTAAAGTCTCTGGACTAGGAGTCAGGTTTAGTAAGTGCTGATATTCTGCAACCTTAATGTTCACTCCAAGCCATATTACCCCCTTCTTTTGCCTTGGGCTGTTTCCAAACAAAGTCTGGAGCTAGGAGCCCCAGCAGCCTGGGCAAACACCCTAAAGGGCTCCTTTCCTCCTATGGTTCCTGTTTTCAAACCCTGTTTCCTGGACCTGGAGCCCTGGAGATCTTCCACCAACCCAGTTCCCTGTCTTTTAGGCTGCAGCAACTAAGACACAGCCACTTTCCTGATGAATAACAAGGAGGCCTGATGTGACCCACTGCTCCAGGGGCAGTGTTTTGGGCAAGAAAGAATAGGCTGTCCTCCTTGATCCTCTCTGCTTCCCACCTCATGTGACCACAGTATTGGAGGAAATTGTCAACAGAATGAGGACAGGGCCACTTCCCAAAACAAAAACATTACCATTTTCAATATTGTGCCAAGGATGGGAGCAGGGAGGACAGAGGAGAAACAGACCATGTCATCCTCTCTTCTACCAACACTTACACTCACTTTCCTGCCAGATATTGAGCTAGAACCTGTTAAGAAAGGTATAAGGAAATTCAAAGGAGCAAAAAGACTTGGGGAAGAAATCATAACACCCCGGGGGGTAGGAAGGTGGGAAGGAGGAGGGGAGGGAATGAGTACTGCTGCCAGGTTATCAGTCACCTTCTTATGTTCTTAAGAATGTTTCATTTCCGTTTGGTCAGTTTCACCTCCCACATTCCGGTAAAGCACGTGGTCCAATCTGTTACCTAACAAGGCCATAGTCACTTCACCGTTCTCCCCTCTATTGGTAACACTGGCCTGGGATTAAAGCATGAAACGCCAAGCCAAGTACCCAGGCCTAAGCCATCCCAAGAAGTGGGCAGCCTCGAACTGGGAACCTTCCACACGCTCTTCAAGCAACCTAGAGCAGTACCAACAATCAGCATGAAAGTTCTAATCTCTTCCTTCCTTCTCTTGCTGCCACTAATGCTGATGTCTGTGGTCTCTTGCAGCCCAAATCCAGGTAAGTAAGATTCATTTCCTATCCAGGGGAACAAGGGAGGAGAAAACATGGCAAAAAAACATGCATTGAAATGTAGCCTCTTTTAGCTACAGGGATTTGGAGCACGTTAGCCTATCTCAGTGCTTGTTTCCTCATAAAAAGGAGAAAACTGTACTTACATCAAAGAGTGTTGTGACAGTTAAATGAGGTAGTGTATATGAAAATGTCTGAAACTGAGCTGGCAAAAAAATAAAATAAAATAAAATATAGGCTCAACAAAGATTTGTTCCCTTTCCTTCCCTCTAATCCCTTTTCCAGAAGAGTAATGAATTTCCCCCAGGCCAACCCTGGTGGTGGTGGTGTAAAGCTGTTGAAGGCAATCAGACCTTCCTAGAAGCTAAGGAAGTCCTTGATTTTATTCCTTATAGTGCACCAGATATGCCACCAACAATTTTTAATGCTATTTAACGATAAAGTAAGAACTATAAAAATGCTAGTTTTCCATATTTGAAGCTTTAGCCATACCAAGCTCAGTTGTAACAGCTCACCTTTTGGGAAGCAGACCTTTGGTTAGGGGTTCCCAATGGGCTCCAGTTTCACTACAGCTCAAGTGGCCCAGCCCTTAGCAGAACAACCAAGCAGAAGAGAACTCATCCCCACGTATGTTTCTACTAGACAGAACCATCTCCCCAAAGGCTACTTTGAGGTGAAATAGCTTTATTACATCCTCAGCATTAGTTCAGTGCTTAAAATCAGAAGTTTACCATACTCCACCCCAATATCAAACCTCCCCTCCCTTGTAGAGAGACATCTCTGGAAGCTGCTGGGCCTCAGAGCCCTAGGGCCTAGCCCACCCTTCTGGAAAGAAAGGCTTTTCTCCATCACTATGACAGACACCGAGGCTAGAGTCCTCAGCCTGGATTCAAAGCTCTAACCACATTCTGCCTTTCCAGTCCACCTCCTCCACTCACTAACCAATGCTCTATGCTTCACCTAAACCAGACTGTTGGCTCTTCCCTGAACAAGTCTTGTGTTCTACTTTGTTCATACACCCAGCTCAAAACCACCTCTTCCCCCACAGCCTCCCTTGCTTCCTCCCACGACCAGATATGAGCTCTCCCTCCTGCGGACGTTCTTAGCCCTAACTGGACTCCCTCTCTGCACTTATCATATTCTGCCTTATACTGAAGGTGTTGCTGTGCCTCTCCTACCTCCATCCCCTGCCCTTCTACACTGTAGTCTCCTTGGTGGCACAATCTGGTGTATGATTTCCATAACCCTCACAATATCCAGCACAGCATTCAGTAAATATTTGCTACGTGAAAGAAAATGTCCTCAGGTTTCTAAGTTCAAAATATTGCTCTTGGAAAACTCTAGACCCAGGATTGATAGCAGCTCTATTGACATTTGGGGCTGGATAATTCTTTGTTGTAGGGTGCCGTTCTGTGCAATATAAGATATTTACCAGCATACGCGTGGCCTCTACCCACTGGATACCAGTAGCAGCCTCTCCATGCACCCCCACCCCCCAAAAATCTCCTGGAAGGGGAAACTACTCCCCTGTTGAGAACCACTGTTCTCTATCAATAGTTCTCAAACTTGGTTACATGTTTAGAATTACCTAGACCTTTAGACTCAGCCGTGAAGTCAGGGGAACCAAGATCCAAATCCTAGCTCAGCCTCTTAACTTTGCAGCCCTGGAAACTTTTTGGAGCCTCAGTTTTATCATCTTAAAATGAATAAAATGCCACTTAGCACATAGAATTGTTGTGAAGGTTAAATAGTCTATAATGTGCACCTAGTAGGGCTTCAATAAACAGACTGAGTAGAATTTCTAAGTAGCTCCTAGAGTACAAGGGCAATGGACTGGGGAAAGCCCACTGCGCTGCCAGATGGCATGATTACAAACCACATCCATCCGAGGTGCCGGCTCAATTCCTGCAAAACAGACGAAGTCTGGCTAGAGGAAATGACACCCTCCACCTACCCCCTAAAAATAAAATCTGATCTAATTTTCTCTCTTAAAATAACTACATATATGCTCAATATGCTTTTCACAGGAGAGGAGGGAAAAATAGATGAGGATATATGAGAATGTTAGGAAATAAATTATAATAATAGATTACTCCTTGCTTCTAATATTACTTATTAATTATAAAATTACTTATAATAATAGCTGACGTGTTACACTATCCTATGTGGCAGGCATTGTTCTAAGCACTTCACACACATTACCTCATTCTGTCCTCACAGAAATCTAATGTATTTTTTTTAACTTTTCATTTTTCAAACTTAAAAAATGTTGTAAAAATAATCAGAGTTCCAATATATCCTTTGTTCAGTTTTTTTCAAATAACATCTTACACAACCATAATAGAATGATCAAAACCAGGAAATTAGCATTGATATAATACTATTAACTAATATACAAGCATTCAAATTTCACTAATCATCTCATTAATGTCCTTTTTCTGGTCCAGAATCCAACCCAGCATCCTACACTCAATAAAGTTGTCATGTCTCCTTGGTCTCCTCCAATCTAGGGTAGTTTCTCAGCCTTCCTTGTGTTTCTTGACCTTGACATTTTTGAAGAGAACTGGTCAGTTATTTTGTAGAAAGTCCCTCAATTTGCGTTTCTCTGATGTTTCCTCATGAATAATTCAGATTATGCAATTTTGGCAAAAAAACCACAGGAGCGCCTTCTTGGTGCATCACATCAGAAGGCCCATGATATCAGTAACTTCATTACCGGTGATGTTAACTTTGAATACTTGGTTAAGGGGGTGTCTGCCAGGTTTCTCTACTGTAAAGTTACTATTTTTCCCGTTGTAACTAATAAGTATCTTGAGGAGAGATACTTTGAGACAAGGCAAATAGCTTGTTTCTTCTCATCATACTTTTGCCCATTAATTTTTAAAATCCATTGATGATTCTTGACTACAACAAGTATTATATGGTATTAGCCAAATGGTGATTTTCTATTTCCATCCTTCCTTCTACATTTATTAGTTGGGATTCTCCTATAAGAAAGAGCTGCTCTTTCTCTCCCATTTATGTATTCAATTATTTATTTATATAAGTAAATATTCATGAATATTTGTAGATTATAATCCATTATCATCATTATTTATTATGTTCCTCATATTATTCCAAAATTGGCCATTGAGAGCTCCTCCAAGTTGGCTTCTGTGTCTTTTTGAAATATCATTTGCTTAGCAGTTCCTGACTTTCTGACATCACAAGATGTTCCAGGCTCATCTTGTATAAAATTTCCTGCCCCAGCCCTTGAATCAGACACGGTTCCTTTCATGGGAGAATGGTATTCACAAACCATGACACTAGGAATTGCCCATTGCTACTAGGTACTATTGCGTCTAGGCCCTCTAGTGGACAGAGCTAGGAAGCAGATGTATGCATACACACACTAATGCGCTACATTAGCCCCGATTTACAAATTAGATAAGTGAGGCACAGAAAAGTTAAGCAACTTGTCCAAAATCACAAAGCAAGTATGTAGTGGAACTGGGAAGTCAAAATAATGATAGATCTACCAAAAGTCTTAACAAGAAGAAGTAACTTCTTTACACGTACAAGTCAGCAGAGCAACAAGCCTAACATTCCAGCATAGACTCTCTCTTTGGGAAAAGAAATAGAAGTCTGCAAAAATAACCAGAATAACCAGCATGTACTGAACACTTACTTGGGTACTGAGCACCGGGCACTCACGGTAGCTCATTTATTCCTAACTCTGCAAGGTGGATACTATTATCCTTGTTTCACAAATCAGAGAACCAAAGACCAAAGAAGCTAAGTGACTTGTCCAAGACTAGAGAGTTAAGTGACAGAACAAGTAGTTGAGCCCAAGTCTGTCTGGATAGAAAGTCCATGCTTATTCCACCGTTTCAGTACTTTCCAAATTTGATTTTAGGTAGAACATAAATTAGTTTTTACTTTAATAGTTATATGTTTATTTGAATGCATGTTATAAAAAAATCTAAGCATATGTCAAACCTGAAACCTCACAGATAATATTGCATAGGATGAAGCTGTTTTGTAAATTAAATTTATTTAAAGAAAAAGTACGAAGTAAATAACAGTAAAGGCAGTAGAAGCTATAGCAAAAATCATAAAGGTGGTCGTTACATGTTTCAGTGTTGGGAGACATTAGACTACAGTAACCGGCAGCTTCATTGTCAGTTACACCAGGAAATTAGGGTTATCAGAGCTGCAGAAAGAAAAACAGACTAAGAATCTTGGACCTGGGTTTTACCTCCAGATGTGTCACCATTACCTTTGTGAACTTGGGCATTTCATTTGCTCTCTTGGCCTCAGTTTCCTCATCTGAAAAAAAGGAGATACTGATTTAGTTAAGTGGTACAACCCTTTTAAAAGGAACTTAGTAATGATATGAAGAAACACAAAGCTGTTCTTAACTTTTGACCCACTAATTCTACTTTGGGAATCTTGACCAATTTTGGAAAATAGTTACAAGCACAAAGAAATTTATCAATATCCAAAAATAAAGGAATCTAAATATTCAGCAATGGGAGAACAGTTAAACAATGTGGAGCACATATACTTGTTGGGAGTGTTATGCAGTCATTTAAAATGTCTGTTATGAAGACAACATAGCAACAATCTTATAAAGTGAACAAAAATAAATTTGTTCTCATGCTACGGTTATCACTACACAGAGAAAATCTTATGGAGGAAACACGCCAAAATACCAACAATTGATAAGAGTAAAGATTTCTTCATTTGTACTTTCCACTCTAAAATCATTATATTACATTTGGAATGAAAAAAACCTTCTCAATGAAGGAATTCAACCAAATAATCTCCAAGATTCCTTCTGGCTCTCATATTCTACAGCTTTCCTCTGAAACTAGGAGAAGAGGTCAGGTGAGAGTAAACTGTTAGAACAGTTGGGATGGCAGGTGCTATCTATGCCTGTCTAAATTACTTTAACAGCACTCAAAACAGCCCATGAGAACATTTGGAAACTAGCACTCGGGAAAATGATGCAACACCCTCCATCTGTGTGGCAGAAAGGGCACGAGTCTGGGAAATAGGAGACCTGGATTGAACCAGATGATCTCTGAGGGCCCTCTCGAGACAACTTCTCCAAACGCTTACTCAACAAACACTTACCAAGTGCCTACCATGGGTCAGGAACCACATAGCTGAATGACTACTGAGCCACTCATTAAGAGCCTAATGAGGAAGAAAGAATTTTAGTTTGCTAGTGCTGCCGTAACAAAATACCACAGACTGGGTGGCTTAAACAAGAGAAATTTATTTTCTCATGGTTCCAGAAGCCGGAAGTCCAAAATCAAAATGTCAGCAAGCTTGTTTTGTCTGAGGCCTCTCTCCTTGGATTGCAGATGGCCACCTTCTTGCTATACCCTCACATGGTCTTTCCTCTGTGCATGTCCATACCTGGTGTCCCTGGTCTCTCTTCGTGTGTCCAAATCTCTTCTTCTTATAAGGACTCCAGTCAGATTGGATCAGGGCCCACCATAACGGCCTGGTTTTAACTCAGTCACCTCTTTAAAGGCCCTATCTCCAAATACAGTCATTCTGAGGTACTAGGGGTTAGGACTTTAACATGAATTTGGGGGGACACAATTCAATCCACAACAGATTTCAGGCAACAAACTATAATTGTGCAATAATAGACATGCAGTCATATAAGAACAGGAACCATGTGAAGGCTGACAGGAAATACTGGAAACTACTCTACAGAGAAAGCATCATCTGGGCCCAGTTCTAGCTCCAGATTCTCAAGTCTATAAATCATCATCTTTGATTGTCATAAAAATATTTCAGGTATCCCAAAATGGGAACAAAACAGCACAGGTGATAAAACAGACTTGAATAGAGGCCAAAAGAGGAATGGATTTGTTCCAGAGGAACAAAGGTAAATACCATCCTCTTTTACTTGAACTGGGAGTATGGATTCAAACACAGCAAACTTGGAGGCCAGGTGAAAATCCTGACTGGTTTATGAGATAATCTCCTTCTTGCTCTCGTCTCTTAAGTCATGAAGATTTTAATGTGTGTGTTGGGGGGTGGTGGTAAGATCTTGATTGACCACCACCTTTTGTCCTCTCTTCCATCCAGAAGCCATTGTGTCTCCTCCTACCTCCAGCTAAGCTTTCCTCTAGGCCTGATTTAAACCTCAATTCCTTATCCACTTAAAATACTCTCTTGAAGTACCCTAGATCCCTGAGAAAAAAAGGAAGAGAAATGGAACTGCAGTGACCTAGGTAGCACAATGTTGTGGGGCCATTTCTGTTGGTCCCTTCCTTTTCCAGCATCTGAAAGTGACCTGTTTCCTTCCAACAGGGGTCGCCAGAGGCAACAGGGGCCAAGGCCAGGCTTCTGGGAGGTGGCTCCAGGCAGGTGGCCAAGAATGTGAGTGCAAAGGTCAGTAACTCAGCATCAACAACAGCAATGCACCATCATGATCCCAACACTCTCCCTTGAGTCCCTCTGAGACCAGTGCAGATGTCATCTGAGCTGACCTCACCCCTGCCCCTCTCCATCAGCCCACCACATGCAGCACCAATGCTTGTTTTCTTCCTGAGTCTCAGGCAAGAGCTGGACTCCTCCAAGGTGCAGGGGAGAGCTGGCTGAATCTCTGGCTGCCCCCTACCTCTGAACTTTTTCTCCAAGAACTCAGGGCTGCCTTTCCTGGATCTTATTCTCAACCTTATTTTACTCACACATTAGACTGAAATCAGAGAGGAAAAATGGCTTACCCGAGGTAAAGCAGACACTAATAGGCAGACACCTAAGTCTTATTCCTCATTTTCTGGTCTCCCTAATGATATCCTGATGCCCTCTCCCAACCTGCCACCAGATTCTTGACAATATAGGTCAGGCAAAACAAGTCAGAAGTCCTGGGGCTCATATAACTGGGTACCTCCACTGCATTGTGTTGTCCCTTTTCCCAACGCCACTGCAGTAGGAAACAGAAAAAGGAAGGCAAAGAAGATGGCAAGTAAAGCTCTGCCCTACCCCCTACTCTCAAACATATTAACCCTCCGGTCTAACCAATAACCCCATTATTACAGATTGGTTCCTGAGAGCCCCTAAAAGAAAACTCATGACACTGCCTGGGCTGCCACAGAAGCAGTGTCCCTGTGATCATTTCAAGGGCAATGTGAAGAAAACCAGTAAGTTTCAAAAGAATGACCTTCCTTAAACCAGAGTCCCTCTGTGGAATCAACCAGAGATGAAGCAGGGGTTGAGAACAGACAAGAGAAGTGAAATGGAGACCAGGAGAAGCACACATCTCAGCCTTTTCTACTCAGTGTCCACTCCTGGGGAAACAGGAAGAGGAAGAAAAGCAGGACACAATTCTCCTAACATCAGAAAGGGTTAACCAAATTCGTAGATTTTAGAGCACCATTGCTTAACAAAGTGGAGGGAGATGGGGCTGTGGGGGACCTAGTCATTGATCTCTGAAGATGACACCAGTGTCAGCGTCAAACAGAATTTGATTCCTCCCTAGACTACCAGTTTTTAAATGTCACATAAAAAGTAAATTGGCAAATGTTAGACTGATTGATCTTATGATATTATCAAGAATGGGATAAATCAGGATCTTTATTACTGTTGATGGAAGTAAAATACAATTTGGGAGTACCTATCAAAAATTTAAATGTGTCTACCTTTTAACCCAGTAATCTCCCTTCAAGAAATCTCTAGGGACCGGCCTGGTGGCGTAGCGGTTGGGTTTGCGCGCTCCGCTGCAGCGGCTCGGGGTTTGCGGGTTTGGATCCCGGGCACAGACAGATGCATCACTTATCAAGCCATGCTATGGCGGCATCCCATATGAAGTAGAGGAAGATGGACACAGATGTTAGCTCAGGGTCAATCTCCTTAGCAAAAAGAGGAGGACTGGCAATAGATGTTAGCTCAGGGCCAGTCTTCCTCACAAAAAGAAAGGAAAGAAAGAAAGGAAGGGAGGGAGGAAGGGAGAAAGGAAGGAAGAAGGGAGGGAGGGAGGGAGGGAGGAAGGAAGGAAGGAAGGAAGGAAGGAAAGAAGGAAGGAAGGAAGGAAGAAAGAATCTCTAGTGTAGAATACTTGCATGGATACTCAAGAAGGAAGGAAGGAAGGAAGGAAGGAAGGAAGGAAGAAAGAAATCTCTAGTGTAGAATACTTGAATGGATACTCAAAAATATACCTACAAGAATATTAATTATAGCTGTATTTGTATTGACAAATAAATGGAAATAAACAAACTTCATCAAAAGCAAATTGGGCAATTGTGTGGTTGTCAAAAACAATGAGGTAAAACATTATATGTTGATCTGAAAGATATCCACAAAATATTAAGTGAAAAAGAAATACAGAGACCCCTACTTCACACTCCTTATGAAAATAAATTTCAGGTGGACTAAAGATCTAAATGTGAAAGATAACTTTATAAGGGAATATAGGAGAATATATTCATGACCTTGGGAAGGATTTCTTAAATAAGATACAGAAAGTAAAAGCCATAAAAGAAAAGATTAATAAATCTGACTTCAATGAACACAGGGGTGCATGTATCTTTACGCATTGGTGTTTTCAAGTTCTTTGGATAAATACCCAGCAGTGGAATAGCTGGATCATATGGTAGAGACAGAGATTGGATTGGTGGTTACCAGAGGGGAAGGGGGAAGGGAGGAGGATGAAAGGGATAATTAGGTACATGTATGTGGTGATGGGTTGTAATTAGTTCTTGGGTGGTGAACATGATGTAATCTATGCAGAAATAGAAGTATAATGATGTACATCTGAAATTTATACAATGTTATAAACCAATGTTACTGCAATAAACAAAAAATAAAAAATAAATCTGACCATTGAAATTAAGAAACTGGTCATCAAAAGAATAAAATGACAATCTAAAAGTAGGAGATGACATCTGAAACTGATATAATTGACAAAGGATTAATATTCAGAATATAGAAAGAATTCCTACAGATCAATGAAAGGAAGGCAGACAACACAACAGACAAATAGGCAAAAGACTTGAATAGACTTCAAAGACAAAGAAATCCAAATAGCTAATCAACATACGAAATGGCACTCAACCTGACTAGTAAGTGGGAAATGTGAATTACATCCAAATAGATATCACTATACTGCATTGGATTGGCAAAAATTTTAAAGTCTGATAATACCAAGTGTTGGCAAAGAGTACAACAGAGAAACTCTCATACCCTGCTAATGGGAGTGTAAATTGGTAAATCACTTTGAAAAAGTGCTGGCAGATATCTAAAGTGCTGGCAGTTATCTACTAAAGTTTAAGCTCTGTGGCCAGGCAATTCCACTCTTAGGTATATACTCAAAAGCAATGCAGGCTTATATACACCAGGAGACATGTACAAAAATTTCATAGCAGCATTGCTCATAACTACCCCAAACTGAGAACTAAGCAATGAATGAATAAATGGTGGTGCATTCTAATATTATATATCAGGGAGAGTGAACAAACACATAACAATGTAAATGAATCTTACAAACGTAATGTTGAATTAAAAAAAAGTCGTGAGAAAATAGCTATAGTATGATTTCATAAAGTTCAAAAACAAGCAAAATTAAACTAAATTATTTAGGAATACATAAGTAGGTGGTAAAACAATAAAGAAAAGAAAGTAAATGCTTACTATAAGAATCAGGATTACCTCTGTGAGGAGGAGAGGGAGGATAGTGATCAGAAAATGAGGGGTGTTGCTGGCAATATTCTATTTCTAGGCCTGTTTCATGAATATCTGCTTTATAACTATTTATTGAACTGCACATATGAGTTTTTATGGACCGCTATTGATGTACAATATTTTGCAATAATAAAAGATTTGTTCAAGGTGCAGAGCAAATAATATGTATAGTACAATCTCATTTTGTTTTTTAAGTAAACTATCAAGTTTACATACAAAAAGATATGGAAGACTACGCAGCAAACTATTAACAGTAGTTAGCTCTAGGGAATGGGGAGTGGAGGTTGGGGTGGGGGAACTTCCTTTCACGTTTTACTGTATATATTTTTTTATTTTAATTTTTTCCACTGGATGAGTATTATTTGTATAATTTTAAAAGCTCTCATAAAAGTTAAACTTTTAAAATATGTTTAACTCTAGTCTCTCCCCTTTATTTTCACCCTAGGGCACCAAAGGCACCACAGGAAGCCAAACAAGCACTCCAGAGCCTGCCAGCAATTTCTCCAACGATGTCAGCTAGCAAGCCTTGCTCTGCCTTTATAGGAGCTCTGAGAGCCCACTCTCCCAATGAAACATTCTCAGTCAAGACGGCAGTGAGTGCACCTAGAGGATGCTCTTCTCCCACCTCAAGCTCCCCCTTCCCTGTCTCCACTCCAGTGGACTCAAAAAGCATTTTCCCTAAGATTGTTGCTCCCTCTAGTGCCTTCTTTCCTCAGTCTTTTCTGTGCCCTCCCCTTACCCAGGCTTAAGCTTAATTACCTGAAAGAAACCAGGAAACCCAGGTTTCCTAGCTGGTCCCAACAACCAGGCAAGTAGCAAAGGAAAGTCAATAAATACTTTTAAATGTAATAGGTCAAACATTTCTTTCAAATGGAGTCTGGCAACTCACATTCAATCCAGGTGTTCCACTGTTCACTCCAAATCTTACCCTGATTCTACACACACTTCTCACCACCACCATCCTCACTCTCTCCCTCCACTGCCCAATTTTTCACTCTGTTACTCATTCAACAAACCTTTCTGGGGTAAGAACTGGGTGGAGCAATGACAGCAGGTATAGCAATGATTCAGACATGGTCTTATAAAAGATAATATAGAGGGCCAGCCTGTGGGCTAGTGTTTAAGTTCAGCACGCAGCGCTTCAGTGGCCTTGGTTCGTGGGTTCAGATTCTGGGCGCAGACCTACACCACTGTAAATGCCATGCTGTGGCAGCAACCCACACATAAAATAGAGGGAGACTGGCACAGATGTTAGCTCAGGGACAATCTTCCTCAAGCGAAAAAAGAGGAAGAGGGGCCAGCCCGGTGGTGTAGTGGTTAAGTTCGCACGCTCTGCTTCTGTGGCCCCGGGTTCGCAGGTTCGGATCCCAGGCGTGTACCTACACACTGCTTATCAAGCCATGCTGTGGCAGGAGTCCCACATATAAAGTAGAGGAAGATGTGCACAGATGTTAGCCCAGGGCCAACCTTCCTCAGCAAAGAGAGGAGGATTGGCAACAGATGTTAGCTCAGGGGTAATCTTCACCACACACACACAAAAAAAAACCAGGAAGATTGTCAATAGATGTTAGCTCAGGGCTAACGTGCCTCAGCAAAAAAAAAAAAAAGATAATATAGGTTTAAAAAACAACCTAGCACAGTTTCCTAGAATGTAGAATGCCTTTAGTATTTATGATTGTCATCATCATCATCATTAATGGTCCTTGCACTCTGTGAGTTTCCAACGTAGTACAGAAGACAGATATGCAGAACCACAGTTCAAGGCCAGAGAGATGGTGTAGAAGATCTCAAATGCCATTGAAAAGGGCTTCAAGCTGTAAAAATGGGAGGACTTCATTTTTTTAACATGATAGTGAAATGATCAGAGCAATAATATAAGGAAATTAAACTGGCCACCATTTGAAAGAATGAATAAAGAATAAAAGATTATTACAACACTATAGAGACTGATTCCCCCTTGGACCCTGTCCTCAAACATCAGAAGGGAGAACAAAAAAAGGAACACTCATCCAGAATCTGGCTTCTGTCATCCCAGATGAAACAGAGGACTAAGTTGCCCTGCTTGCCTTAGGAGAAAAAATATTTTAACTGAGTGGCGAGTGGGGGGGGGGCCCTGTTTATGACACAAGAGGACAAGCCCCTCCCCTGTGGTAGGAGAGTGCTGGGCACACAGCCTCCTCCTGTTCCTACTCCCTCTTCCCACAGCAGGAGGCACAGAAGTGCATCACTTGGCACAGGAGTGGGAGCCAGCTGAGGCTGGCCCACTTGCCAACTGCCTTAAAGGAAAACCAGGGATGTCAGGATGAAAGAGTGGAACCCAAAGGGAGGTGCCATCATGATAAACCAATGAGGGATCTGTGACAATAGAGGCATGGGGGAGGAGGGGCAGAAGGATGAAGCCTGGGACATCAACATCTCCCTTGAGGGAAATAACAACAGTGGAGCCAGGTGCTGAGTCAGTATCTAGCCCTGACTGGGAACCTGAGCCACACCAGACACCAATCACCCAGCCAGAGCCTGGGCCAGAAAAGGCACCCACAGCCCAGCCAGCATCTAAGACTCAGCATCTAAGACTCAATACTCAACAGGAGACTGCTTCACAGCAAAGACCTCTCACTCAGCAGGAGCCCCTTTCCCAACAGGAAGCTGAATCCCAGCAGGAACCTAGAACCCAACAAAAATCTGCTTTGCAACAGGAATTTCTTGCCCCACAGGAGACTGCACCACGGCAATCACCTCCCACCCAAAGGGGGCCCTTCACTCAACAGGAAGCTGCCTCACAGCAGAGACCTGGGCCAGGAACAGAATCTAGAAGTCAACAGGAACCAGATTTGAGAGAGGGACCTGTAGCCCAGCCACAACCTGACCCAGGGGAGCCATCTCTAGCTCAATAAGAGGGCAGATCAACACCTCCACCCAAGCCTAGACCTAGACCCCAAAAAGACCACCTGCCCAGATTGAATCTACCTCCCAAGAGAGACCAGGATAGTCAGACCCTACAGCCCAGCAAATAGCTCTAGCCAGGGAGCCAAATCCCAGCAGGGATCTCTGACGGACTGGATATTTCTATCAGACCTGCACCAACTGTCCTCACAGCAACCGGCCCCAGAGTAGAAGACATGTTGTAAGTGGGTCACAGATCCGGACTCAGAATCAGATTTGGGGTCTCCATTAGGGACCGATTGCCAGCCATGAGGGGTGGGACAGTGGCCCAGGGAATGAAGCTGGCCTTCAAGGGGAAGCCTGGTAATGGAGTGATGTCAGGACATGGTGGGACATCAGCACACGGGAAGAACAGCCAGCCAGAATCACAGACACTACCAGGACACAGGTGAGTCTGAGCCTGGGGGACCAGGAGCCTCCCAGGAATGGTCATTCATTCAGTCAGGGGTACTAAGGACCTCCAGTTAGCTCGGGTGATCCCTCCACAGTCCTGCCAGACAAAGATCCCCAGCCCCATTTGATGGATGAGGAAGCTGAGGCCTAGAGAAGAGGAGGCCGTGCCTGAGGCCGGGCAGTTAAGGAGCAGCGAGCCAGGATCCCAGCCAGGGTGGGACATCTTCCCCTGCACCAGGCTGCCCCCCATGGAGAATCTGGGGGAAATCACAGAGAAGTGGGAAAGGGCTCTGGGCTAGGGGCCAGGAAACCTGGGAAGCTGCCCTCCTGCCAGTATTCATCCGCCCGTCCCCAAACCACCCAGCACAGCCCTGTGGCAGACAGTGCCACAGCCCCCAGCAACACCAGGCTGACGTGGACCTTTACCATCGGGGGGTTCCATCCCGACTCTGCGATCCTGAGCTCCCAGGAAAGGCACTTGCTCCCTGCCAGGCTGCCCCCTCAGGGGAGTCCCAGGCCAGCCAGGCCTCATGGCTTTGGGGGTGTCCTCAGGAAGGGGAGCCTGGGAGAGCGGCTGTGGGGTCCGCCAAAGTCCCGGGCAAGGTGGGGGCTGGATGGAGAGTTGGGGGAGCGGAAGGGGAGGGTGACGGGCCCAAGACTCCGCGGGCCGCCAGCACTCCCCCATCCTCAGAAGCAGGCAGTGGGCCCCGGGGTGCAGCTCCAGCTCCGCTCAGGCCCCGACCCTGCTTCTCTAGACTCACAAGCCCCGCCATGCAGAGGGCAGGCGCCCGAGTTTCATCCGCGGAATGAGGGGTCCCTGTTGAAGGGGCCTGAGGGAAAACAGTGCAGCCCAATCCAGAAGCTGCGGGCGCTGTAGGGCCGCTGATCCGCAGGCCGGCAACGCTGGTCTCGCCGGAGGCCTGTCCCTCCCAGAAGGGCTGGGCGTCTCTCTGGGGGCTGAGGAGAAGACGGGAGCGGGTGTCTCTCTGGGCTGGTCGCCCGCTTTGGGAGGGCGGGGAGGAGGGTTAGGAGGGAAAGAGAGGGTCCCAGGTCTGCTTTTTCCAGCGCTGACGACGTAGAGCTGTTTCTCTAGGCTTCCAGAACCCAGTCTGAAGGGACGCCCTCACCACAGCGCCGCGGCACATGAGGCCGCCTCTCCTCAGGAGCCTGAGGCAGTTGACTGTGTGCGCATGCGCGAGCCTCTGGCCTCCTCTGTTTCCCGCCTTTTTCCAGGCACGCACCCCTCCCTCTACCTCAGTTCCTCCCTGCGTCCGGCCCAGGGCTCCGGGCTAGTGCGCTGGGGCCGACCATTCTCCTTCCCCTCCCTTCCATTCTCGAGGGAGGAAGAGGGCAGGGAAAAGAACCCTAAGAAAGAGCAATAGAACTAGGAGACAAGGGGCGGGGAGAAGGCGGGGCTTCCTCCTCCAATGGCTCGCAGGCAGAGCCACGCCTCCAGTGCTGGCGCCCCGCTCTGGCTTTGAATCGCCCCAGGACTTGGCCTCCCTCTCCCCCACCCCTTGCCCCCAAACAGAGGCTCAGCGGCGCCCTCCACGCCTCCTCCAGAGGGCGGGCGCAGTCGCGTTCTAGGGAATCCCTTCCTGGGAAGGTGAGTGGGAAGGCGAGGCTGAGAGCCCACACGTGTGAACATCTAGGTTTCCCTGCTGGGGTGACCCCGCGAGACTCCCTACTAGTCCTGCCCGAAGGCCGCTTTTCGCTGTCTCCGGAGCTGCATTTTTGTTGGTCGCGGGCCCTTTAATGCCTTGAGTGGGCGGGACCAGGCCGTAGGCCCTAGCGGTTGGGGGCGGGGCCCGGAGGTGGAGTGAGGCCCGGATTGCTCAGGGGGCGGGACCCAGAGAGGAGCGAGTCCAGGATTGCATGGTAGTGGGGCCCGTCCGTGGAGTGTAGCAAGGACTGGCCCTGGGGCGGCGCCTGGCGGCTGGAATTGGCCCCCGCGGGGGGATCTCAGGAAGTTGATGGAGTCCACCAGGAAAAGAGGGCCCGCCTCAGCCAGGAGCAGGTAAGAAGCGGAGAAGCACAGGCAGGCCCCTCCCCAGGACTCACCCCCAGCCGCCCTCCTCCCTCTCACTGCTCACACCGGCTCCCCATCTGAGTACATCCGCGGGGGGGGGGGTGTGGCCTATGCAGGCCGCCCCAGCCTCACCCGCCTCTTCCCCACTCACCCATAAGGCAGTGAGGAGCGCAGCAGCCTGGCGAAGTCCGAGGGTCCGCGGAGCCTGGAGCTGTGGCCACGCCCCCAGCAGGTACCCCGCTCCCGGTCCCTGGTGGTACACATCCACGGCGGCGGCTTCGTGGCCCAGACCACCAAATCCCGCGAGCCCTACCTGAAGAGCTGGGCCCAGGAGCTGGGTGCCCCCATCCTCTCCATCGACTGCTCTCTGGACCCCGGGGACCCGTACCCTGCGCGCTGCAGGTGTGCTTCTACCCCTACTGCTGTGCCGTCAAGGGCTGAGCCCTCCTCGGTGAGCCCCAGCCCCTCACTGCTGCCGGCTCCG